TCAGGTTGTTAATGATTCTTCCTCCAATCCTGATACCACGTTTTCCTTCATATAGTCCAGCTTCTCGGATTATTTGCTCAGCATATAGATTGAGTAAGTGTGGAGAAAGGATACAACCCTGACACACTCCCTTCTTGATTTTAAACCATGTAGTGTCCCCTTGAATTTGGATTTTATCAAATGCTTTTTCCGAATAATAGATATGATCTTGTGGTTAATTTTTTTTTGTTTTATTTATGTGGTGAGTTACATTGATTGATTTTATTTTTTATGTTGAACTATCCTTGCATTCTTGGTATAATTTCCACTTGATCATAACTTGATCATAGTTGATTCCACTTGATCAACTAACTAACTTAACTCACTGCCGTCAAGTTGGTCCCGAGTCTCAGCAACCCCTCCTTGGGTTTCCAAGTGGATTGTCCAGTCTTCCTTCCAAGGAGTGGCTGGTGGGTTTGAACCACCAGCCTTCTGGTTAGCAGTCAGATGCCTTAGGCACTAGATTTTGGATTTTATCAAAAGCTTTTTCTCCATAATGGATATGATCATGTGGTTAATTTTTTTTGTTTTATGTGGTGAGTTACATTGATTGAAATTTTTATTTTTAATGTTGAACCACCCTTGCATTCTTGGTGTAAATGCCACTTGATCATGGAGTATGATATTTTGATAGGTTGTTGCATTCTGTTCACTCCGGTTTTGTTGTAAAGTTTTGCATCTCTCTCCATGGGGGATATTGGTCTATAATTGTCTATTTTTATGATATTTTTGCTTGGTTTTGGTATCAGGGTGATGCTGGCTTCATAGAATGAGTTGGGGAGTATTCTTCCTCTTCGATGTTTTGGAAGAGTTTATGTAGAATTGGTGTCAACTCTTCTCCAGATGTTTGGTAAATTTTTCCAGTGAAGCCACCTGATCTTGGACTTTTTGTTTGTTGGCAGTTTTTTAATGACATCTTTAATCTTTTGCTTTAGGGATTTGTTTAGATTTTTCTGCTTTGATTTTTGGGTTATTTTAGGTATTTTGTGTTTTTCTAGGAATTTATCTGTTTTATGTAGGTTTTCAAATTTGATGGAGTACAGTTTTTCATAGTATTCTGTTATCCTTTTTATCTCCATTGAGTTAGTTATAATGACTCTAATTCATTTATATTTTGATTACCATATTTTTACAGAAATAATGTGGGTGTTACATGTTTTGTCTGTTTTTTACTAACTCTGCCCTCCTCCTCCCAACAAGGTATTTTCATAAATGTGCTGTGATTTTTTTTTTTTTAACTGCAACATGTAAAAATCAGCATAGTGTGCTTCTGAAAATGCCTTGTAGCATTTTGAATACGTATCTGTTGTGTCATTCCGCCCCCCTCCCCCCATTGTGTCTAGTCACGATCTAGTTCTTCTGGTTTCAGGGTTGTGTAGGCTGAGGTTCCCATGATCCATTGGTCCCTTGCACTAATTTTTTCCAAGGGCATGGTGGGACAAAAACATATAACACGCACGTGATTGGGGTAAAAATACATGATTTGCCTTTTCTTGTTTTTTCCTTTTGTCAGTCTAGCCAGTGGTTAATCTATTTTATTGATATTTTCAAGGAACCAACTTCTGGTTTTGTTGATTCTTTTGTTTTCTAAATTGTTTATTCCTGCTCTGATCTTTATCATTTTCTTTCTTCTGGTAGATTTGGTCTTCTTTTGCTTTTGTCTGTTTGTTCAAATATAGATTTAAGTTTGTGATTTTGGGTTTTTTTTTTTTTTTTTTAGCTTTTTATTGTGATTGGGTACAATTTTACAAAGCAGATTTGTTTTGCATTCAAAGGTTCATACACATTTTGTTTTGCGATACTAACTACAGTCCCCACAATGTAACCAGTTCTCCTTCCACCTCCTCCCTGTGGTTACCCCATCTCTGTATCATCCTTACCTATGTGTTCCTGCCTACCTTTCTCCCTGTGCAAATGCTGCCCTTCTGGTCTC